TCTCTCTCTCTCTCTCTCTCTCTCTCTCTCTCTCTCTCTCTCTCTCCTGGAGAGAGTCGAGGGGCCAGGGTTCCTCTTTGGTGCTCAGCGGATCCTGACGGCTGGTAAGGGCTTGCTTCTCCCTTCTCCTACTCCGTTTTCTTGATTCTCCTCCGTCACAGTCCCACCCAGCTCCTTAAGCCCCTCCCCTCAGTACCCCTGTCAGAAGAGCACCACTGAGTCTCACTCCACCCTCCTCTGCAGGAGGCAGCCAGTGGCAGCCTCTGGACTAGGAATCCAAACGCATAAAACCCTGCCGCATCTGCTCTGCTTGCATTCACAGTGAGAGCGCAAGGCTTTGCTGGGATTTCCAATTTCTGCAGGAAACGCCTTCGTGACAGCTTAGGGACATCCACTCTCTCCAAATTCCAGAAAAGTTTGGACAAAGTGAATTTGGGGTGGATTTTGGAGATGCCAGCTGCGACCCCTGCTTCCTCTGTGTCACTTTTTAGAAGCCCCCACCTCCAACACCCCCCCCATCCTTCCCACACTGACACCTAGCTCCAAGACCCTCCTCTTCCTCCCTTGATTCCCTGGGCCTCCTGGGGTCAGGGATGTCAGTTCTCCTCCCCATTTTTGTCTGCTGAACTGTCTCACCAAGCCTTCACCCTTTCATCCTCACCTCCCTTCTTCTCTCCACCTGTAACCCTTTCTCTCCCACTCCATTTTATCTGTCCAACCTCTTGCACCCACACCATCCTCCATTTACCTTCTTCTCCTTCCCTCCCTCAGATCCTAAGCATGGATTCTGAGCCTTCCTGGACTGCCATTCCCTCCCTCTCCCCTGGAGGTACTCTGCCTGTCCCCAATGCCACCACACCCTGGCTGGGCAGGGATGAAGAGCTAGCCAAGGTGGAGATTGGCATTCTAGCTACCGTCCTGGTTCTGGCCACAGGGGGCAATCTGACTGTACTACTGACACTGGGCCTCCAGGGCCACAAGCGTTCCCGAATGCACCTTTTTGTGCTGCACTTGGCCCTGACTGACCTGGGCGTGGCGCTTTTCCAGGTGCTGCCTCAGCTGCTCTGGGACATCACTTACCGATTCCAAGGCTCTGACCTCCTCTGCCGGGCTGTCAAGTATCTACAGGTGCTCAGCATGTTTGCTTCGACTTACATGCTGCTGGCTATGACACTGGATCGATACCTAGCTGTCTGCCACCCTCTTCGAAGCCTCCAGCAGCCCAGCCAGTCCACCTATCCTCTCATTGCTGCTCCCTGGCTGCTGGCTGCCATCCTCAGCCTCCCTCAAATTTTCATTTTCTCGTTGAGAGAGGTGATCCAGGGTTCAGGGGTGCTGGACTGCTGGGCAGATTTCTACTTTTCCTGGGGACCACGTGCCTACATCACCTGGACCACCATGGCCATCTTTGTGCTGCCTGTGGCAGTGCTCACAGCCTGCTACAGCCTCATCTGCCACGAGATCTACAAGAACGTGAAAGTCAAGACACAGGCTGGCAGAGAGGAAAGAAGGGGTTGGAGGACTTGGGACAAGTACTCATCTGCTGCTGCTGCTGCTGCTGCTGCTGCTACTGCCACTAGAGGGCTGCCATCTCGGGTCAGCAGCATCAGCACCATCTCCAGGGCAAAGATCCGAACTGTGAAGATGACCTTTGTCATTGTGCTGGCCTACATTGCTTGCTGGGCACCTTTCTTCAGTGTCCAGATGTGGTCTGTGTGGGATGAGAATGCCCCTAATGAAGGCAAGTATGTGGCTTATGTGAAGTGGTGAGGGAGGACAATAGGGTTAGGGTAAGGATTACAGTGCCTCCCAGAACCAGGCAGGACACAAATTAATGGAGTAACTAAAAAAGTAGGTGCTTGTTTGCCTTAGAGCATTCTCTGCTGCTGTAACAAATGCCCACATGCCACTTAAAGCAGAGAAGTTTATTTCTCACTGTCCTAAAAGCTGGCAAGTATGGGAAGGCTCTTCTTGAAATTGGGGACTCTCTGAAGATTCCCAGGCTGGTGAAGGTCACCCTTGAAAGTGGCCAAATTGGCTTTTTTATTGAGCATACTCTTTTAGAAATGAACATTTTTTTTCTTGCTAACTCATTAACCTATTAATTCCCAAGCCCAAGTTTCCAAAGGTCTCACCTGAAAGTACCATTGGCATATGACTTTAAGCGCTCTGTTTCTAATACAAGAATTCTGGAGACAGACATTCAGACCACAGTCTTGCCCCATATGGTTTCATCTAGCCCACCAGAGCTTTGAATATAAATTATGTGGAATTTCTTGAATTTTTTTTAATTTTGGTTACTTATTTAGCAATTTTAAAATACTGTATGATGCTAGTGAAAGATGTTTATTCTGGAACAATGCAGAGATTAGCATTGCCCTTTTGGGAAAGAAAGGTTTTGATGTATTTGCTCAGCCAACTTTCCAGTATGCTGTGTGGGTTTGAGGATCATAGATTAGCAGATCTGAAAGGGTGTTCAAATAATCCAGTCCAGAATGGCAATATTGAGTACAGGGACTGTCTTCTTTGTGGATGCCCTTCTGTGTCTGGACATAGCTTTGTTTCTCCTTCTCAACAGCCACTTCTAATTAGTTAGGGATGATCTCAAATTCAGCTCCATCATTAAGTCACTGAGAAAAGGGAGGATTGGAGAGGATCCATGACCCGCCCAAGGCTGCTCAGTTAGGAAGTAGCCCCCCTTTTCTTTCTTTCTTTCTTTCTTTCTTTCTTTCTTTCTTTCTTTCTTT